CAGCATTCCTGAGCTCTTCTCACGGCTCTGTGGAGGGTGTTACCAGGGCTTGATGACTGATCTTTGCTGGTGTGTGTGTGTGTGTGTGTGTTTTCACGGGCGTGAGCAGGATTGCAGATCCAGACCAGCCTGTGCTGTGGTTGGATCAGATGCCTGCCAGGAGTCTTAGCAGAGGATTTAACAACCACATTAACCTCATCAGGTGCTGTATCTGCCCTCAACCTGTCATTTGCTCTGTAAAGCGGCCAGTCCTAATCGCTTAAGAACTTTGTTTGACTTTTGAGGGCCGTTCGCACCAAGGATGATAACTAGAACCATGTAGTTTTAATGATTATTTTATTTCTCCACGACCACAACTGTAACGAAGGAACGATATTGTTGTAAATGTTGTGGGGGGGAAAAAGAAGCTTTAAAAGGCACCCTGTGGTTTTCCAGCAAAATGTAACTTAGTTGGATGAAATTAAATGAAGACAGCAGAAGATATTAATATTATCATTTTAAAGTTGTAATGTAGAATAAAATTATTCTGTTTGATATTATTTATATATATGTTTTATGATATAATTTCTATTTTTATTATATATATTTTTTATTTTACGTTGAAACATTACATTAGTAATATTTCTTATTTAGTTTTTATTTGTAAATGTTTGTCATTTTTATATTATTATTTAATAGTAGTAAAAATTATTATTAGAATTAATAGTATTAATATTGATATTATTTAATAGCTTTTAAACTGCCGGCCAATTTATGTCGCCTTACAAACAAGCAAAGAAAACGTTTTTTTTAAATCAATAAATAAATTAGATTTTTTTTCCGCCAAATCGTGCAGCCCTACAGTGTGCTGTCCATGAAAATAGATACCATGCCAATATTAGATCTTCCTGATATTGTGTATGCTAATATTGGTATCATTAATGACGATTCTGTACAGAGAAGATGCAGCCAATTTCGCACCTCAAGCGTGAGCGGAGTATGAATAGTTTTACTTCCTATTAGAATACTCTCTGATTGAAACACTGAAGCAAGCATTTTCATTGAAACCGCACGTCTTGTGAAAAGCGCTTCGACGCTCTGCCTGCTGCTTCTGCTTTCGTTGTGAAGACACGGGTGTCAAACTCGAGGCCTTTGGGCCAATTCTGGCCTGTCACCTGATTTCATGCGGCCTGCGAGCACATTTTTGAAACGTACAAGTGAAATGTCTCATTTAGTGCTTTTCTTGTAAACATTAACCCTTTGACGGATAC